GTGAGATATTAGGACGTCTAGCAAAACACGTGTTCCAAGTTTCATTTAAATCGGACTATCGGTTCCAAAAATATCTGAAAAAATGTGTTTTAAAAATAAAAATAAATGACAAACGAGGCACTTTTGCATGAAGGTAAATCATATATAATCGAGGTATTTTAAGTATAAAAATACATGGTATTTCTAAGTTCACGGAATATTGAGACACCCTGTATAGAATGTTTTCCACTGTTTTAAAAATTAAAGAATAGAACGTAAAAGTTGTTAGGAAGGTATAAATATTATTATAAAAGTCTAAGAGCAAATTCAGCACATTAAAATATAAAAAAAAATCAATACTCAAATTCGCCTACTAACACCAAAAATGGGCATTATGTTTAGGTAGTATATATTCCAGCGCCCACTAATATACAACCATATACCAAAAGAGCTAATTAAATATAAACGTCGTCAATTTAAAATATCAATAAAAGATTGGATAAAAAATGTATCAATTAAACATCAAAGCTTATTATTATATATTATATAAAATAAATATATATATGTATATATAAAAAATGAGATCATATACATACCCCGTTACCTGTAAATAGATTTTAAGTATACACACCTAGTTTTCCAGCACTTCCAGCTTATACAAACCACACACAAGGACACTGTACCTCTTGTTTTTTCTTTCAATTTACTCACAAAAATTGTACAAATACTATGAATGAATTATTATTATTATCATTATTATTATTTCTGTCCGGGCCCATGTTTATATGAACTTTTTTGATACCTCAAACTGCCCTTCATTTTTCTTGGTAACATTCTATAATGCGATTAGCTATGTACTAATGTGTCATTTAGATGTACAGATTGATAAAAACTTTAATTATCTCATTTATCGACTTATTGTTTTTTTATTAGCGAACAAGCGGTGCTCCAATGCTTTCTATTTCCATTTTGTTCTTCGTCGTTGCTGAATTCACAATACAAATGCCTTCATTAATTTTCCTTTGGCTTCCACCCTGGATTTGAGTTACAATGGATATTTTCTACATTTACCAGTGAAAGCCACCAATGGACAAATACTTGATTATAAATGGTATGGCCAGATCGAGAGACAATAGCTCAGTTCCAAGAGATATAATGGCTAACGCTTCAAGCCTATCCTGCGGTGGCTCGATCTCTCTTTCATCCTGATCTATTCATTTTAAGCTCAGTGACGTAGGAAACCTTTAATTTAAGGTCATTGAAAGGCAGAAAAAATAACACCCAGTAAAAATGAATTTGTTACAATTTTTGTATGCATGCTTCTCAGGGTTAGGTAATTGATCAAAAAAATACAACCGTTGAAAAAAATGTGAAAAGTTAATAATTTGTTGAGCCTCCACGATGTGTTATGCAGTCAAAAATACGTCTGGGAATACTCATAATCAGATGATCGAGTTCCTTTTGAGGCATCTGATCCTACTTGCAACTCGTGCTGAAATGCCTCTGGAGTCTGTGGAGAACGGTAGTCTTGAGTAGCCATTTCTTATTAAATCTGAGAAGAGCAAGACGACTGGTAAATGAAATTATAAAAGGAAACAACACCAGCAACAGTAGAAGCATACGGAATGAACCCAGCATACACTAATGCTACCATATATTGAGAAAAACTAGATTTTCAAGGAACACCACACTTCGCAGTATCCTTACAAAGACAAAACCTATGAACAAAGGGCAAAACACCCAGGATTGTGTATATAAGGTAGTGCGGTAACCTATACCTAGGAGAGACAAAAAGACCACTATCAGCAAGAATAAAAAAACATAAATCCAACACGGAACAGGGAGAAACGAATAAATCTGGAGCAGCAGCTCACGCTTTAACAAAACACCACAGAATACTTTGTGATCATACTAAGATCACTAGTAAATGAATGAAAATGCCCAGAATTGTTGAAAATAAACCAGTACGGCAACCGATTATAAGAAATATCAAACAACTGATCTGGCTGCGATGAATGCACGAAGTGGCTGCAAGATTACTTCGAGCCTTGTATTGCAATGCAGAGAGGCTCTGGATAGTCTAGCCGCGAGGCATCCGGTATCGTTGGTGTGGGTACCGGGGAACGCTGGGATAAATTGCAATGAAATGACGGACCCTGTTGCGAGCAGGATCAGCGAGTAAGCTTGTTGGTCCTGAGCCAGCCCTATGGATGTCCGCGGAAACAGTCAGGGGGAAAATGGAGAAGTGGATTGCTAGATTCGATTCTCAGAAATGGAAAAGCATCTCTAGACATCTCCGTCGGGCACGGGAGCTCATCCTAGGGCCCAGTGTTAAGGACGGATGCTTTTGCTTATCTTTGGATAGAGGCAACCTCAGGTTCTAGATGGAACTATTGTCTGGCCATAACACTGGCCACCTGCATGTGGTGAGGCTGAGGATCCCAGACTATACTGGGCTCCAACACTTTGGATCCCAGAATGGAGCTGGGACTCACGGCTATACTCAACCTTGTTAGAAAGGCGGAGCTTGAAGTTTAGAGAATGTAGGGGTGCATAAGTGCCCGTTCATGCGCCGACTCCTCATGCTGGCCAGAATGTCTCTAATTTCGTTATTGGTAAGTCCAAAACTGTTGATTCGGCGATAAACAATTCGAATTGCAATTCCATGCTCTCCAACCCATTGGTCCGCAATTTGCCTTGTGGATGAGAAGCGGTCTCGATGTTGGCGTGGGGCCGTTCTGTTGGCATGCCCTGTGCCTCTAATGCTTAAACTTCTGTGCTTATTTCTCTGAAGGACGAACCAGCCTCGCATAAGCCTACTATGCGCCCCCTAAATCAGATTAAAGCAGCTCCTCTTATGATGATCAAATGGCAATTGTAGCTGCAACAATTGTGGTTTACTCACGTTTTAACGGTTTTTTGTCCTAACTGAGACAAACATATACCTAGAAAATCTTTAAAATAAATTCATTTATACTGTGTGTTCTTTTTTCTACGTCACTTATCAAATTTTCACAGTTGGAATTACATTGTACTAGGAGCCGGCACACTCTGACCCATTTGGATATATTGTAGCTCCCAGTCACATATCCACTGCCCAAAGCTAAGTCGTTGTATCCTGCTTTGTTCCTCTACTCACACTCCATAGCCTTGACACAATACTTTGCATGCGTCCTGCTTTTAGATTCGTGATTCCAAAGATATGAATCGTCAGCCTTACCAGGCCTTCTCAATGACAGAAGAGGTGTAGAGTTTCCTCGTGCTCCCTAGTAAACCGGCACGCAGCGTTTCTGCTAGAGTCAAAGGCCTGATATGTCCATTTAGATGACAGTGTCATGTTAAGAGATTCACCATAGCCCTCAGAATCTACGAAGGTCCTCTATAAATTTGAGCTTCCGTTGTTTAGTGAGAACGTTGCCTGCCTCTGCCTTGATTAGGCGATCCAACATTATTAGGACGTTTGCTTGGTCCAGTCCTTTATGGATTACTTGTGTGTTCAGCCATAACACAGAAAGGCTCTGGAACTGGTGATTAGATGTATCTTTTCGGTATGCTTTTTGAAGATTTTCGACAGCTCAGATGCTTTATACCGGAGGTTTATTTTGGTAATATCATTGTCCCTATCTACTCCCCACTGTAACATTTACCTTAGCTGTATAGACAATACAAGTCCTTATTTTTTTTAATTTTGTTGTACGTTGTATATCGTAAAGCATGTAATTACAAGGCGCACCAGAATAACATATCAATCTCCCGTATAGATTTACGGAGATACAGTCCCCTAAAGTATGCTACTGAGAATCATTTTACCTCAAGTAAGTTTTGAACCACATTCAATGAAATTTTGAAAGCTCATTTAGATCGCCAGGGGCGGACTAACGCAATATAAATATATAAAATATGAAATATAATATATAATATATAATATATAATATATAATATATAATATATAATATAGAATATTTAATATATAACATAACATAATATATAATATAAAAAAATATATTTTTGAAATTTTTTATCAAAAGAATGTATTCTTGTTTTATTTCAATAAAATGAGCCGTTTTTGAGAAAAGCGGTCTTTACTTAATTGAATTAACTGTACCATGCATACGATCATGCGAGGCCACAACTAGTTACAGTTCTATAGTGTTGTTTAAAAGTTATTGAAGAAGAACCTACTCCCAGTGATGTCTGTTAGGACCCCTATCTACGTAGTATCTTTATAGAAACTTGTGGCATTATTTTGTTGTGTTCTATATGCAAACGAGAGACTGACATGTTATTACCTTGTATACATGTATGTGATATATTCTGATTTTTTATTCATTCGCATATCCTATTCAAACCATACAAGAAGGTATACCCAATAAAAGCATGCCTTATTTGCTTCTGCTGAACCAAACCTTTGCTGTGGCATTATGACGTATTGAGTTGAATATCAGTGTTGAACAATCCGAACTAAAATATCGGAATGAACTCTTCACTTCTGGATGAAACATGGTCTGATTTACGTTGAATTTCATCAAATTTGCCCCTTAGGAGCAAAGTCAGAGCCTTAATTGATGCCTCCTTATCTAATTGTCTTATTTGATTTGTTACTTTGGAGTGACGGAGTAGGTGTCAAATATCAAAGAAGGTATACGTTTTCGATCTGAGATGGCGCATGTTTTCTTTACACATAAGAATCAAAATGGATAGGCCCGTGCGTTCATTGAAAAAACTGAAATAAAGAATCCTGGACGATGAAGGCAATGTGCCTCAAATCCTTAAGAAAGGAAGTTACTTGACAAGTCTCCTGTCACTCCCATCTGTCAAAACTGTCAACGCAAAGAATGCATCCTCACAATAAGTAGGCCTCAAGTGCAAGGACAACTATATTCTTTTTCACGTTGAACAAAAATTAGAAGCAAGTTTTATCCCGGACTGAAGAATGCCGTAATAGTAATGCCTGGAATTTCCAAACCAAGCTGAGACTTGAAACCTCGATATATGCGGGTTATAAATATGATATGTTTTAGGGAAAAGATGGGAGCCTTATAAGAAAAGCTATTTCAAAATTTAGTACTGAATATAGACTGCAATTTGCTTGGCCTCAGGGACACATCGCTCGGCGAGATGCAGCGGGTTCGACTCCACGTAAGTCTCAGTCCATGGGGGCTCTCAAGGCTAGAATGCAAGCCAATGCTGTCATCAATAAGAAGAGAATTGATGTGGAGAATAGAGATGGTAAGATATTGTCTAAACGAAGAGATCAAGAGTCCCATCTCTTTAACCTTCTGGTTATTCAGAATGTTGTATCTCAGAGCTTTGCAAAGACACCAAATGTGTGCTGGAACCTCTTCACCTTTTTTTGTCTGGAGATAACTTTTGGCAGTAAGCCCCAAATTGAACTCCCTCACTTTCTGCAGATCTTGAGAGACACTACCCAATTTCAGGGACTTTTGCCTCAGAATCATTCATCTGCTCTCTTTCTTAACGTCTTACACAGGCGCGCCTGAAACTAACTCATGAATTACAAGCCTGCTCTCTGAACCCACTCTCACGAATGCGCCCGCCATATCACTGCCACAAATCCCGGAAGTATCTTAAAATCTGCTTAAAAAAAGATTTTGATTTGACTTTTTTGCATAATCTTATTCAAGGAAAATTCAACTTACCCATACAAAATAAATGATTCTGTAATGGAAAGGTGTAAAACTTTCAAAGATTTGGGCGTGTATTTCGATTGGCAGGTCACCTTTAACTATCACATCATCAATATCACAATGCCTATTAAGTTATTTTCACTGCTATGAGTAAATTACAATTAATCAATTGGAGCCCTATCTACGAGGGTTGTTTCAAAAATAAGGTGCCCAACGCTGTAACTTTGCCGCGCGTGATGCTACGCGAAATCTGGCAACACAGTCGCGTTTGTCGGCTCCTTCACCACCGATCCTATTGGCGATGCTCAGTACCGGCCTGACAGTCATGCGCAATGGGGCCTTTCATCGCCGTCACCTCCAGGTGGGAAATTCGTGTGGTGATCCGATTTTTGCACGCAAAAACGTCACCAGCTATAAAAATTCATCACCAGTTGAGTGAATTATATGGGAAACATATATAAGCATTCAACATGTCCTCAAATGGTGAAGACAGTTCTGAAAAAGGGATTCCACGTCTAAAAAAATGTGCAGAAAAAATGGCGACTATGTATAAAAATATCTTAAAGATCAACCTTTCCAATGTTAAATTCGTTTTTCCGAATAAAAAATTCCGTGTGCCTGAAAAAAATGTGGGAACCTTATTTTTGAGACAACTCTCGTATGGAAATAATATTGAAAAAGTGCAAAGAAATTTCTGAAATATCTATGCTTTACGAGTGATAGAGAGTCTTTCAGAATTTGTGGGCGCGATTGGAAGAACGTGTCCGAAGCGATGGTAAACATTTGCACGAAATGATATTTAAAAAATAAACTCCGCCGAATTTACGAGTATGTTCATACTAATAAATATTTTTTCATTAAGTTCGTATTTTTTTCTTAAATCAAAAAGTGATCTTTCCCACTGGACACCCTATAGTTTCTTTTCTCTCTACCTATAGCACCTTTCTTTTTTTTCACTATATGGCACACAGACTGTGTAAATGACATCATTGCACTATGCATGGCTCTCTAAATGGTTTCTGTACTATTGCGCAATAAATGTTTTATTAATATTCTATTTTCCTAGACCTATTCATTTTCCTTTGAAACAATCAGGAATTTTGAAAAACACAGCTCCATAAATGTTTATTTTAGCTAGCGAGCTAGAGCCTTTGGTGAACGAGAACGGCCAGGAGAAATCAAAAGAGGACTTCGGAACTGAGTATAAGAAGAAATTCAGACCTTTTTCACAATATGAGTACACAGGTGGAGGATTTTCTTCCAAGGAAATTTCTAAAAAGATGTTAAGCGACGAAAATAAGTATATTAATGAAGATAGAGATTCTTCGTGGTTTCAAGAGGTGCTAGAACTGCGTAAAAAGGCTGGAGAATATAAGGTATTTGAATTTATTCATATCAGCAGATATGGACAACCGCTCAGTTCTTCTAGACAGATTTAAGAAACGAACAACGACTTTATTTTCAGCATCGAGGCTGGGGAAGTGAACTAGCACCAGAACGTTTGCATGATATTTACAATAAGCAAGTTGAGTTGTGGGACCAGGTTTCACGAAGGAGTTCTTTATCAGCTTTATCTCTCGCTTCCATTAGTCATAAATCGTACACTAAGGAAGAAAAAGAAGACGATAATAACAGAAAAAGCTCGCCTACGAAAGCTTATCGAAATGCTGAAAATTCAGCTAGGATGATAAGAGATATTATACGACATCATTTAGAAAGAACCACTGGTGGATCAGGTAAGCCAAACATATCTGACAGAATCATGAACACGACACATGAGATTTTCTAATAATTTTCCATTTTGTGTCGTATACATGATTTGATTCACAGTCGAATATGTAATTCAGTACGAGATCTCATTTCATCGTGACCTTGTGGCAGGAAGATCAAGGACAACAAATTTGATACTATTACACAATATCTCTCAGGTTGTGTTGATGAACGTGGCGAAATATATGTTGCATATTCCGATTTTGCCAAAGCCTTTGACGAGTTGGATCATGCAGACTTAAAGATTATGGCTTGGATCGTTCTGCTTTGCCATTTTTTTGAGTCATATCTATCTATCAGAACGCAGCTTGTTTCATACAATGGTTACAACTCTCATGGATATGCTTGCACATCGGGGATGCCGCAGGGATCATATCTTGGCCCACTGCTTTCTACATCATTTATAAATGACTTCTGTGATACATTCAACTGAAACAAATTTCTTTATGCTGCCGATTTGAAAATGTGTCTATCTGTTACAAGAATTGAGGACATTACAGATTACAGATGGAATTGGACAATGTTCAGACTTGGTGTCAAGTAAAGAAACAGTTTGAACGTAAGAAAGTGTAATCTAGTAAAATTTTACCAGTATGGAAAGTCTGTTTGTCTTCGACTACACTATAGACGATGAAGTACTTTGCTGTTGTCGGAAAATTGAAGATCTGGGAGTTGTTTTTGAATCAATTTTGTCTTTTGTTGAGCATATCTCAATAACGATCAACGCCACATCAAAGAATTATGGATTTATAGTGAGAAACTTTCACCAATATTAAGATTATTACAACAATATACTTGATTATTGTCCGCTCAAAATTGCAATGGCAATTGAGAAAGTGCTACGACGCTTTTTGAAACTGCTCTCTTACAAGACTAGCGGTACTTTATGAGCAGCATCACACTTATAGATTACGATTTTTTGTGTTCATTTGACCACTTTTCAGAATTTGATGGTTTAATTTTGTCACCAACGAGAGAAAAGCTAGAACCGACAATTCCACGAAAAGATGACGACTCTAGAGGATCTCAAAAAAATAGTCCTAAGAAAGGTTCTCCAATGAAGTCATCATCACTCAAGAGGACAAGTCAAAAATCAAACAAACAAGGTAGTCTTTCCTTGATAAAATGCGCAACAAAATATTCAAATACGGAAAATGTAGAGATATCTCATATTTATGAAAAATGAGGTTTGGAAATATTTGAGTTTAAATCTAAAAATTCTCTTTTGATACCTGACTTAATCGTTTAATTTTTCTCGTAGCCCTAAACGCTAATCAGCTAGGGGATGTAATACAGGAGAAAAAATTAGTTTAATTGAACCCCACTTTCTGAAACTGATTTTTTTGAATCTATAAATAAACCAAAACGCCAGCGTTTGATTAAATGTTTTAAACCATTTACTTAGATTGAAGAAACCAATTTGTTTGAATCTTATGGAGTATTAAGGCATACAACTTTTTTCAAATAAATTGTTTTATTTTAATTACTTCGTCTATTGTACATAGCATAAAAGTATAAACAAAATTGTAGCAGGTTCCTTATTCCACATAACTGTATAAGAAACTCGTTTTCAGTGCGTTCACAGTCTGTAGGACCTACTCCAGATACAAATACATTGGAGAAAAGATCTCCAAAGCGTCAATCTAGGTCTTCATCCACAAAACATGGAAGAAAATCTTCATCTGAAACTCCAACGAATAAGAGACCGAGACCTTGTAAGCCTCTGAAGCATGTTGATCAAAACTTCCAGAACAGTTTTTATACACTCACCTTCCATCATAAAATCAGTCAAAATAAATAAAAAAATTACAGTCTGCCAAAATGTTGGCCTAACAAACAAGGTTGAAAATAGCTTTGCAATAAAGTAATCTCAAAATACTCTTCGGGGTTTTAGGTTAAAGCTTTAACTGGAGAAATTATAATTCTTAACCAAGTTTTTAAGCATCGAATATACTTATTCTAGATACTTTTCAGCATTAATTGTAATTTAGCTTCAGAGGAAAAATAATGGAAGCCTTTTTTGTTCGGAAAGATCCAAAAATATGTTAGGACAAAAAAAATGTAATTTATTGGAAACAAAAATGTTTAAGCAAATTTGACCTGGCTGACCCTGCAGGTAGGTTAGGTTTCTTGTGAGTGCATCAATAACGATCCTTCACTGCGACTATTTGGTCTATTGTGGCTCACGCCTATTTATACTTCCCCCAGAAGCTCCAACCTCTGAGGAAGTCGATCAACTTGTTTGGAGACATATCCTTCAGGTCTTCCACTTGGAGTACTACGTCTCCAAGTATGTTGTACCTGATTCTGCCGTTTCATCTCCCTCCCTGCACAGTCAGCACTCAGCGTATTCCGCCATGCCCAGCCTGCTCATGTGGTGACACAATTTGCGATGACCAGCGTACAGTCCTACTAGAGCTTTGAGGCTATTCCTGTTAAGCCGTAGCACAGAGTCTGTTACCTTCTTTGTCAAGATTAGTATAGTTGCCTTAGCATGGGTTAAACCAGCCACCCTCCCAGTATTGATTGATCTTTCTGTCCATCTCTGCAAAGACTATTTGTTTAGCCTTATTGTATCTGATCCCAATCGCTGGCTCAGGCCCTATGAAGGGTGTGCTAGTCCCACTCTTCGCCAGAGTGTCAGCTGTCTCGTTTCCCTCTAGACCTGTGTGTTCTGGTACCTATAATGAGACTGATTTCATTTCCCTCTCCTGTGCCACCGAGAGCTTCTTTGCAATTCCACACTAATTTCTGGCACCCAGTTCTATGGCACATAGCTCTGTCTAGAAGATTGTTGCCCAGGTTCCTAGGCTTACAAATTTTTTAATCTTTAGCTTCGGCACGAAGATACCAGCTCCAACACCTATCTCGGTCTTGGAGCCATCTGCGTATGCACAGATATATTTCCTTATGAGGTTAACTTGCTGTTCCCATTCATTCCTGTGTGGAATTGTCACTGAGTAGGGTTTAGCATATCTTGTTATCTGTGGCATTATATCATAAGACATTCCCAGACTGTGGTGGTTTTGTAAGTTCGCCAGCATGTCCGTCTTCTCCATAGTGATATTGTCCATTATACCATTTGCCACATGATGTAGTCTTAAGATGTTCTTCTTGCCTCACATTCCAGGTATATGTGCAAGGGGGGTAAATTAAGAAGCACCTCCATAGCTGCAGTTGGTGTGGTACGAAAGGCACCAGTGATCAACATACAAGCATTTCTCTGTTTAGCGCTCAGTTTGGCCTGGACAGTTCTTTGTGCTGCCTTGCCCCACCAAGCTAAAGATCCATAGGTTATCATAGGTATAAAGCCAAAACATTTGTTTAGGCTTCATTCCCCAGTTCTTTCCACAGACCCTCCGGCAGTTCCATAGCGAGATCCTTGCCTTCTTAAGGACTGCTTCCAGATGCGAATTCCAGTTTAGTGTTTTATCTAAGATTACCCTGCGGGTATATTCAATGCTTAAACACGCTTTTACAAATCATAATTTTTGAGCTCATCCGGTAACTAGATCAAAGTTAAAACCTTGCTCTACAAGACAATGAAGAGGATTTTGAGATTAGTTTATTTTAAAGTAGATGAAGTTTATTGTGAATATTCTGTTCTTAAAATTTTCGTCAACTTCTAAGCATGAAAGCAAAATCTTGTAAGTACAAATGTCACCTCTGACACTTTTCAGTCTTTGAGATGGCACAAGCGTTATAGCCTGACAAAGTTATAGTGAAGCTACAACAAATAAGTAGAATGCAATATTGTGACTGTTCTGGATTTTGTGTTTTCTATATTGATATTCGTGTGCCAAGAATCGTGATGTTTGCTTTGAACAATTGCTTACCTTTCTGTTTTTTGAACCTTCACGGCAATCACCCCAAGCATTTATTACAGTAGATTTTTGACAGTATATCGTTCTCTGATCATTGAGTTGGGACTTACTAGCATTTTTTGGATGCATAACATACTCGGTAGAGCAAAATCATAACGGAGTGTCGTCCTGATTCAATGAGAAGAGATAGATGAGAAATACATCAGTAAGCTCTGGAAAATATAAATAATTCTTTCCAGGTGCTCTAATATCTTGAATAATTTCAATGTGTACATACAATATCAATGTTTCTGATTCAGACCTGATTTCATCATTACTTCTAAGTAAGAATTTACCAAAAAGGCATGTTTCTGGTCAACTCAAATGCCTCAAACTGTTGCATTTCTCATCAAATATCTCAATATGCGTTTGTAACGGTAAAATATATTCCCTATACTTTACTGATCAAAAATTGCAACTCCTTTTTTATTCAATGTGTATTTTTTGCTTCACTATTTTACAGCACAATATTCCTCTGGATCACTCAGTGTATAGCTTTTACTTCCCCACCAATAAGCGAGGGAATAGCGAAATTCTCGAAAAAATCAATATCATTACGCCACTATGTCTAAGATGAAGAATCTTTTTTTAATTTTTGAAATCCAGGTATTCGATTGTGCTTTAACAAAAAGGGCTTCAAGCAGATTGACTCTATACTTCCTACGCCTTCGTTGGATGTTTCAAAGAAAAGAGATGAGTCAAGTCGTTTCAAAAGACGAAGTCGAATCGTGATTTGGTAGGTTCACTTAGGTAGGATGAATCTTCGACCTCTGCATATCAAAATATATAAATCAAATTTCTGTTTCCTTGGCAGATATAGGGAAAATATGTGTGTCTTACTAGTATCACTAATATCAGCAGCTTCTTAATAATAGCAGGTCAACCAAATATGCAACAATTTACCGTATGCAACTTCCAACCTACAATTTTCATCCTCCCGGTTCACAAGTTTTCTGTTGCTTAAAGATATCTGCATCACACAAGTCCGAGTTTATATACAGGGTGTCCCAGAAGTCGACGTCAAGCCGAAACTGGGTGATAGGCAAAGTCATAACAGCTATCAGAAAAATATTTAAAAAAATTTTATGTATGTGTTTTGAAAATTATAGGTCTTTGAAAAAGATATAGAAATTTCACACCCTACGGCAGTCTGTCAACTCCTGTTACTACAAATATTAACTTTTTTTGGATTTTATTTTTACAATGTAATGATGAATAATGCATCTTCAAACTGGTGTCTCAACCTTACTGCCAACTTTTCTCGTTCAGGAAAAATTGCCACTTATTTCCCAACCAAGTATTCCAAAGTAAAACTTTGCTCAACTTTAACTGGCTGTACTGGAAAAAATGTACTACGAGAGTTTGGCAATTAACCTTAAAAGTTGGCGCATTTAATAATGATTCCAAAATGGTATAACACTTAGAAGATTACTCGTTAACTTATGCACAATTTTTATTTGAAAAAAAACTGATGAAATTTTTTCAAAATTTTGTAATTAAACAGCGATTATGAAAACGCACAAGGACCCTTAAGGATAACTGTTTGCACAACAGTGGGCGTCAAAATGCTGCTGATGATGATTTACCTTTACAGCAAATGCTCAAACTGTTTTCCTTCAGCCGCAATACACGCTCATCTTCTTAAAAGAGATCGGGTTATTAAACGAGCGAATCCACGGTTATTAACAAACTCAGCTGCTTCCAATAGTCTTTTCCGTAGCTCAGCTACATTTTGAATCGGCTTGAAATACACTTTTTCTTTTACAGTTCCCCAGTAAAAAATCTAAAGGATTCAAATCAGGTGATCGGGCTGGCCACGGTATTGTACCAGACCGCCTTATCCATCTGCCTGGAAAGTTTTGATCGAGATACTCTCTCACTGAGAGTGCATAGTGCGCTGGGCAGCCATCATGCTGAAACCACATGTCCCTGTAAATACTCAGTGGCACGTCCACCAATAAATTTTGTACATGATTTTTCAAAAAATCCAAATAAACTTCAGCAGTCAAAGTCTCTGGGAACTCAAACGGATCGATTATTTTACCATTTAAAATTCCTGTCCAATGGTTTATCTTGAAGCGATATTGAGATTTATCTTCTCTCATCAAATGTGGGTTTGCTACGTGCCACTCGTGTAAGTTATGCAGGTTCCCATCCCCATCTTTCTTAAATGTGGTCTCATCCGACCATGCAATTTTTTCAAAGAACTGTGGATCTTCCCTGTGCCTTTCTAACATTATGCGACAAAAAGCAACTCGGGGCTCATAATCCCGGGGCAGGAGAGGTTGAACACGCTGTATGTGGTATGGATGAAGCACATCACTTACTTACTATTGCACACTTTGATACCAATCAGTACTCCTTCGTTTACTGCGCATCTTTACATATTCGTGCTTGTTGATTTCGTACTGTTACTAATTTTGGATTCGTGAACTGGACTGTTGATCGCTTGTGATTTGGATTTGGACTGTTTAATTGCTCTTCAAAACAACATTTGCTTTCCTTAGAGTATCTTTGATAGTGTGATTGTGCAGTGCCGCTATGTCCGTGTACACCGTACAAGAATATGCTAACATGCACCTCATTTATGGGGAATGCAGATGCAACGCTAGAGCTGCAGCGAGACTTTACTGTGAGAGGTACCCGAATGCAGATCGTGATCCAGATCATCGAGTGTTCACAAATATGCACCGCTTACTGTTCTCAGAGGGCCAACTACCAAACCAATCACACGGTGAGGGAAGATCTTTCCTTCCTTACGAAGACGTGGTGCTAGGAGCTGTCGAAGAAGACCCGAGTACTTCAGTGCGTGCAATAGAACTAAAAACAGGTGCGCCCAAAAGTACAGCCCATAGAATCTTGCAAAAAAACGTGCTCCATCCATACCACGTGTTCAAGCTCTTCTGCCTCGGGATTATGAGCCCTGAGTTGCTTTTTGTCGCACAATGTTAGAAAGACACAGGGAAGATCCACGGTTCTTTGAAAAAATTTTATGGTCAGATAAGACAACATTTAAGAAAGATGGGTACATGAACCTGCATAACTTACACGAGTGGCACGTAGCAAACCCACATTTGATGAGAGAAGATAAATCTCAATATTGCTTCAAGATAAACCATTGGACAGAAATTTTAAATGGTAAAATAATCGGTCCGTTTGAGTTCCCAGAGACTTTGACTGCTGAGGTTTATTTAGGTTTTTTGCAAAATCATTTAGAAAATTTATTGGAGGACGTGCCACTGAGTATTTACAGGGACATGTGGTTTCAGCATGATGGCTGCCCAGCGCACTATGCACTCTCAGTGAGAGAGCATCTCGATCAAAACTTTCCAGGCAGATGGATAGAACGGTCTGGTACAATACCGTGGCCAGCCCGGTCACCAGATTTGAATCCGTTAGATTTTTTTTTACTGGGGAACTGTAAAAGAAAAAGTGATTTTCAAGCCGATTCAAAATGTAGCTGAGCTACGGCAAAGACTATTGGAAGCAGCTGAGTTTGTTAATAACCGGGGATGCGCTCGTTTAATGACCCGATCTTTTTTAAGAAGATGTCGAGCGTGTATTGCGGCTGAAGGAAAACAGTTTGAGCATTTGCTGTAAAAGTAAATCATCATCAGCAGTATTTTGACGCCCACTGTTGTGCAAACAGTTATCCTTAAGGGTCCTTGTGCGTTTTCATAATCGCTGTTTAATTAGGAAATTTTGAAAAATTTTCATCAGTTTTTCTTCAAATAAAAATTGTGCATAAGTTAACGAGTAATCTTCTAAGTGTTATACCATTTTGGAATCCTTATTAAATGCGCCAACTTTTAAGGTTACTTGCCAAACTCTCGTAGTATATTTTTTTCCAGTACAGCCAGTTAAAGTTGAGCAAAGTTTTACTTTGGAATACTTGGTTGGGAAATAAGTAGCAATTTTTCCTGAACGAGAAAACTTGACAGTAAGGTTGAGACACCAGTTTAAAGATGCATTATTCATCATTACATTGTAAAAATAAAATCCAAAAAAAGTTAATATTTGTAGTAACAGGAGTTGACAGACTGCCGTAGGGTCTGAAATTTCTATATTTTTTCAAAGACCTATAATTTTCAAAACACATACATAAAATTTGTTTAAATATTTTTCTGATAGCTGTTATGACTTTGCCTATTACGCGGTTTCGGCTTGACGCCGACTTCTGGAACACCCTCAGCTCAGTTTTTTTTTTTTGAAAAACGCTCAGACCCGTCGATTTTGTTTTCGAGGGGGACTCAAGTTTGGCAAAAAAATAACGTTAACACGTGCAGCCCCCTGGGCGGGGGTGACACCAACTATAAAATCTTAAATGGAAAGGGGGGTCGAGTGATGCCTTATTTTAAAGGTCTTTCAATTCCCTTTATAATGATGTAAAATACATGAGCTTCAGTTCAGTAGTTTTGAAGATTTATTGATTTAAAGCTTAAAGTAAACTTTAATAGGTACATCAGATTAGTTTGTACTATTTTCAGAAGAAATTTGACTGAAAGAATTTACTTAATAAGTAAATGCTTTTCTTCACTACGCCCATGGTTTGTTTATCATTTTGCTGTTGAAAATAGCTATTAGAGCGTTTTTTTGTGGCAAAAAAGTTATTTCTTGAAGAAAGATAAGGAAATATCTCTTAATTATTTTAAATAGGAATTTAGTACATAGGTTGCGATTGATTTGACCAAACTTTGTTGCTAAAATAACTTGTAAGGCTTTATTACATAAATTAACCATGGTATATTCCACAGCAGAAAGAGTTGAAATTATCGAAATATTTTCAGTGCGCTAATAGAACAGCAGAAATATTTAATAAGCGACATGAGAACAGTAACGTGCATGGAAAATATGTTCTAGAACTTGTAGCTAAATTTCTGGAAACTGGGCCAGTCGCAACATCGAAAATCCCATAAGGAACGAAGCAATGGAATTGGGGATTTTAGGGCAAGTTTATGTAGATCCTACGTTAAGTACCCGCAAATTGGAGACTGTGTGTGGTGTTAGTACTGTCCAACGGATTCTAAAGGCCCAACTTAATGAATAAGATTTTGATCGGCGATTACAGTTTTGTGAAGATATGAGTGAACGAATTATAAACGATGAACATTTTCTATTCAACACTTGCTTTTCCGACGAATGTTCCTTTTTCTTAAATGGCGTAGTAAATCCTGATAACTGCCGATATTGCTCCGATTCTAATTACAGAATTTATCATGAGGTTCATACACAGCAGCCACAAAAATTAAATGTTTGGGCTGGTATTTTTGGCGATCATTTAGTGGGTCCTTTTTTCTTACCTGGAAATTTAACCGGTGAAATGTATTTGTTATTTCTGGAAAACGCCATAGATCCTGCATTAACAGCCATAATTGGAAATCAGAATGATCGGCGGTACATTGCGAATAGGTTGATGTTCCAACAGGATGGTGCCCCACCACATTACGCATTACGTGTTCGACAATATTTAGATCAGATGATGGATTGGTAGAAGAGGCCATTAAATGGCCCCCAAGATCGCCAGATTTATCACCTTTGGATTTCCTTATGTGGGGTCATTTAAAAAGCAAAATCTATGCTACTCAGCAAACATCATTAGAAGACCAGCGACAAAGAATTGTGAATGAGTGCCTTCAATTTACTCCTCAAATATTGCAAAATGTGCGGCAACGTTTTGACCAAAATCTTTATTATTGCATGGAGAGTCATGGTGGCCATTTTCAACATTTACTTGCCTAACGGGTCAGTTCATTCTAATTTTTAAATTACTTTGCTGCCAAATGTATTGATCTCTACTAAGTATTAGTTTTATTTAAGCTTTAAATCAATAAATCTTCAAAACTACTGAACTGAAGTACATTAATTTTATATCATTATAAAGGGAATTGAAAGACCTTTAAAATAATGTATCACTCGACCCCTCTTTCCATTTAAGATTTTGGGGTTGGTGTCACCCCCGCTTAGGGGGCTGCACGTGCTAACGTGATTTTTTGCCAAACTTGTGTCCCCCTCGAAAACAAAATCGACGGGTCTGAGCGTTTTTCAAAAAAAAACTGAGCTGCCAATAAATGCGTCTGTTTCGTTTTCGATGCGCCACCCTGTATATATACATAGGTGAAAAATTAAAGCTGCCGCCTTTTGTTGGGTACTTCGACAAAATTTAAGCAGGGAGGACTCTTTATACTTTTTTAATCTCTCTAGCTTTCAATGGTCTTTGCCATCATCATCAGGAGAGTAGTATGTGAGGATGTTGCTAAATGTTATTTACGTTAAGGATGAGGGAAACACCCAGCAACATGGTGAAAGCTGGATACATGGTACAATAGTCAAAATTATACAAACTACACACAGCTGTATAACAAGAACAAATTAAAAACAGATTAAAAATATTTAAAACGAAAGTTAAGCATTACATCGTGAAACCACTTGGGTAATCACTAAACTAACTAAATATTTTTAATCTGTTTTTAATTTGTACTTGTGTGTATTTGTACAGCTGTGTGAAGTTTGTATAATGTTGACTATTGTACCATGAATCGTGCTTTCACCATGTTACTGGGTGTTTCCTTCATCCTTAATGTAAATAACATCTAGCAACGTCCTCACATACTACTCTCCTGATGATAATGGCAAAGACCATTGAAAGCTAGAGAGATTAAAAAAGTATAAAGAGTCCTCCTTGCATAAATTTTGTCGAAATACCCAACAAAAGGCGGAAGCTTTAATATTTCACCTAACTGGTCTAGACCACGTCCCAAGTTATATATATTATATATATATATATATATATTTCTCCTGTAGCGGTGCTTGACGACACCACCGCAGACTACTTTTAGTTTGATGCCCATTGCACAGTCGGCAGTGGCCTGCACGACGATGTAAAACATATTTCATTTTCGAAATTGTTCGCGGAGAAAGTAAGATGGGTGAATTTTGGACAAAAATGCCAAAATTGCAAACTTTAAGCTTTTTAAGAACAACCACATAATAAAACGAAAAATGAAGAAAGTTTAAAATGCGTGTTCTAAATATTTGGATGCAAACATTTCACAGATGGAATCAACTTGAAATTTGAGTTATTTTCTAACCCCTGATCCTTTTTGGATGAACATTGCATTTTTGCGTTGGTGAATTTTATCATTTGAAAATTTCTTATACCGGTAATCTTAGCACTTGCCATACAATCATAAAAATGGTATTCAGTCAGTTGAAAAAAGGTGTCAAGTAGGTTGACTCTCTATTTCATGCAAATGTTTTGAACGAGTGTTTACAAGTTAATCCATTTAACGTTAGTTTTGGAATCTGGGTTGTATATGAGGTATCGAAATTTGGTAAACCGCACAATCTTTACGAACTGTAAGTAGGAATTTATAAAAGTGTTCTGATTCATCACGAGATTATTTCATAGCATTGAACTGTAGTTTTATGGACACTTCGTGATATCGCTTGGGAGTCAGGTTTGACCTATATTCGTTAGCAATGATTCAAATGCAAGATATGCATTCAGTTTGTTCTGTCTATTAAATACATAATTGACTCAAAATACTTTTATAAATCGTCAGTTATAGAGACAGCATTGCGTGTGAAGTAGAACCAACCTATGTGATGCCATTGCTATGGATTTGGAGGAATATTGTGAGGCCAAGTTGTGTGCTTTTGTCTGAAAACTGAATGGGCATTAGTAAATGTAAAAATGTATATAATAAATAACAAATCTAACGATATTTTAGCGTCCCTGAACACGACAGTCTCTTCACGATCTAAATCGGTTGCCCCGGTATCAAAAAATGAAGACGATAGATTGGCCAAACCATTACAAAACCAAAACAAAATACAAAGTATAGATTCATCTAAGCAAAACCAAAAAGTAGCAACAAAAGATAGAAAAGGAAGTAACGAAGGTAAGAAATTTTGATTTGGCACGACCCTTGGCACACGCAACTACCAAATTACGTATTGGGTACCTGTTGAATATTGTCTGTTCCCTATTCTATCTCAAAGTACACAACTTTCTCCGAATTTGTTACTACATACCAGAATACACCTTCGAGTTTCCCATTTATTTCATTTCAGCTAAAAACCAAAATATTCCTTGCACCGTATGATATCACTGCTACACATTTGTCTACCTAATCATAGCACATCTAGTGAATCTACATTTAGTAATAAAGTTCATCCTAATGTAGTTTTTTCATAAATTATTTTAATAATGTATCCAGATATCAGCATTGTCTACTTAGTTTGAAAAACTATACTGCCGTACTTGGGTAAATAAACTTTACTGCGTTTTTTTAAATTTTGACGCCAATACATTTCTTTTATGATTAAAATTACAAAATATATCGTTGATCACTTTATTTAACAAAAATAGTGAGTTTTTCACTAACAACAGTTCCTAAGCATAAAATCAGTAAAATAATGTTGCAAAGCAAAAAAGCAGTTTTCAAACTAAACTGCTTTTATCCTCTGTATGATACAAGTACTGCCTTTTAACCCTTTTATAACGTATTATCATGTTTAGTTGTTTAATGTTTTTATGTAATAATTCTAATATTTGTGAATAAGTATTTATCGATAAAAATAATTAATTTTGCTGCTAAAGAATAACTTTGAAAAATATTCTACATTTAACTCAACATACAAGAAAACATGCTGTTTTTAGTTTATTTATATAATTATTTTTGTAATTATCAAACGCAATCATATAATTATTAAGTTGAATTACTGGATGTTGAAAAGGTTAAACTTTGTGCTATTTATATGAATTTCAATATGAATAATATATATGAAAATATAATAAAATTGCTGCGTTTACTTACATGTTACTGCTTTTTGATTTACAACAATTAAAGACGGAATGCCATTCATTTCAGGGCTCAACAACAATTATGATCCTAAACCTCATTTAAATGACTCTCTTTAAAGTCAAGTAGCTTTGCAATATTCATTCCCCTTTGTTGTGTCGTAATAATATTATATATATATTTAGTTGGAAAAAGTCAATTTTCTCATACTTCGATTTTTTACACTTTACTGCCTCGTACCTAAGTACGGCAGTATAGTCTATTTCCAAAATAAAAGAGAAAGTAGCAAAACTCAACGTACGTCCACTGGTAAAGCTCGGTTTTCACCGTACTCAAAAACACAGTGGCGTACGGTGTGTAATGCTACCGCCCTTTATTTTGACACTTGACTATAATCGATTCTGATTCAGCTGAACAAGGAAAGACTGAGACAGCTGTTAACGATGCTAAGGAAACAACTGAGGAGCTTGATAGCATACCATACGAGCCAGTGGTAAAATCACCTCCTGAACCTACTAGAGTAAAATCGCCCGAACAAATTCTTATGCGATCCCCTGATCCAGTGAATTGGACAGTGCCTTTGGATACTGGGAAGACGTTTACTGTCACACAGAATGTCAGAGAAGGTAAGAACACCTTTTATTCTAATTTTGCCCATACTGTTCTAAGTACTATTTTTCTACACCCGTATCAAGCTGGTCTTTTTGCGATTTTCAACTTGCATACTAAAACTGTCGAAAGTGCATTATACTCGGATATTAAAACGGAAGAAAGTAACATAAGACATCATGCGCCACCGTATGTATGTATCTATGTTTGTATTTATGTTTGTATGTATGTATGTTTGTATGTATGTTTGTATGTATGTTTGTATGTATGTATGTTTGTATGTATGTTTGTATGTATGTTTGTATGTATGTTTGTATATATGTTTATATGTATGTTTGTATGTATGTTTGTATGTATGTTTGTATGCATGTTTGTATGTATGCTTGTATGTATGTTTGGATGTATTTTTGTATGTATGTTTGTATGCATGTTTGTATGTATGTTTGTATGCATGTTTGTATGTATGTTTGCATGTATGTTTGTATGTATGTATGTTTTTATGTGCGTATGTACTCGTATGTTCCGTTTCCACGACAAAACGGATAAATCAATTTTGATGAATTTGAGCATATACGAGTATAGCAATCCAATTATAGCAATACTCAAAAACAAAAAGAATGTTATATGTGAGCAACAATTTAAGGCGTACGAAGTCGCGGGTAACAGCTAGTATTATATATTTTTGTAAATTGTTACAGGTGATAGCGGGAGTAGGCCTCATAGCGAAGTGAAAGTGTGGACTCCACCAGAGGTCCCACCACCTGTAGCTCAGTCTGCCCCGCCAGCTCTTACAGAACAGATTAAGGAGCAAGCCTCTTAATCATATCCGAGTTCTGCTTGCCATCTTCTGTTTCATTATGTTGCTTTAAATATGGATATGGCAGCAAAGCTAGAACTCGGAATAATGCAGGATCGACGCTGCACAGGTAAGGCCCTAACAAGCTTTTTTCACATGGATGGGCGGTCCGTGCAGAAGCCTAAATACCAGGGTACCGATGCGCTTAAAAAAGCTTTGTTAATCCGATTTTTGAACTGCCTATGGCTAGTAAAACTGGAAAAAGCCTCCTCATGTAGATAGGAACAAAATGATAGATAATTTAAATATCTAAACTATACTCAGAAACATCCAGTTTTCTATTCGATAGTCTCCGAGTACCGTTATAGATTTTGTGAATCAAACTTCGGCACCCGGTTCATTGTTCACAAGCAAAATTTTATCAAGCCACTATTTGCAGGAGTTCAACTTAGGATTGCTTTTTAGTGAAGTCATTTCTGGTCACCCTATAATCAGAAAGGATTTTACGCGCAAAAATACTAATCGCGATATTTTTTCCAGCCTCTCACTCCTAGATGATCACTATGGATAGTAATGACCATGAAGTAACATGCAGCCGATACCATTTACTAACAGGGTAGTAGCCAGAGACGTTTGGTACAGTTCAACAAATTCTTTCACGAGATCCACCATGCTACATATATCGGGAGATTCATTTACAGGCATTGTTTGCGAAAGAAAAAACGTAAAAACAATCAGCGTTACTCACATTATTTCGGCAAACACAGTTCGATATTCACGGACACATAATTCAAACATGGATATCCCTAAACGTATCAAGTTAACCGCGCCGACCACAATTTTCAAAATACGAATGTTATGGAAATATTAAAGATAACCTGATTGTTTTTAATTGTTTATGCTTTTGTAAAAGTACTTCTAAATAAATCACCTATTACTTGCTGAACTTTTATATGAAGTGTATCATGGTCCTACCAGAACATTTGCTGTCCTTATTTAGCCACGTTTAAGCTTAGCTTACCTTTGTAATCCAGAAGTAGTTCAGTATATTTAGATCCCACTTTTCAAACCAAGCAAACGTGTAACCTCAGATTCTTAATAATACTGTAGGTGTGATATTGATGGTAGCAGAGCTAATGCTCTGAATGGGTTATCAACCTTTTTATATGCTTTTTTACCTAATCAAAATAAAAGGGCTGTAAACGATCAAGGGATAATTTGTTCCATGTGTAGATGAAAGTGTCCAAAACCAGACTATTTTTTAATTCATTAAAAAAATGGAAAAATCATACTTTAAAAGTCTTCAACGTCTTGTTTGTAATGTTAAGCATAATTTATTTTACGCAATTATTATATATATTATTATACTCAAAAAAAATTAAGGAAGCAAGAAAAAATACAAATTTTCTGTAATTTTTGACAGCCGGTGAAAAATGGTCGTATCTAGACTTAAAAAAAGCATTTTGAAGCTTATAACCCTGCACGACGGCAGATCGATCCATTGCACGGTTTTTCCGGACCAAGTGGTCAGAGTTTGAAAATGATGCAAATTCAGTGTTAGATCCAAATTTCACGGTGATGAGATGGGTCCGGTTTAGGGCGCTTTCCTCCACTGACAGGAAAATATATTGGAAATCCGAGCTGGAAAAAACGAAAAAAAAAATCGCCTACACTGGAAGTCGAAACCAGGACCTCCCGAAGTAACACTGGCGGACTAGCCAACGAATGTGAGAGGTCGTGAGTTCAAACCCTACCGGATAGGTTTTTTTTATTTCTAAGTTTGATTTTAAATCTTCTGTACGTATGGTGATAGAATAACCTATTGGTATATTAGTTGGCGACCGCCTATAATCTAGACTGATAATGAACTGCCTTTTCTCGTATATTTTGAGGTTTTGCTCGGTTTGAACATGAATCAAACTTATAAATCGTAACGAAATCAAATAACACCCTAGTAGATTCTCATAATTTTTAAGAACACTTAAGGTATTTTGCTGTCTTTTGAAACTCAAAAAAATCATTCACTATTCAAACTAAACAGTAACATATTTAATCTTAATGGAACATAATCTACTAGGAGAGTTTTGAAAAGGTATCTAGGGTTCATTTTTGCTAAGAGCTATATTAATAAACTTCCTTTAAGCTACCTAGTTCATAGGTAATAAATAGTACGACTGTCTACTAAATATACTGGTCTACAATTGCTTAAAATATAAGCGTCCATCTATACCGAGTCCGTCAAATACACGCAGGAATATTTTGTTCAAAATGCCTCGCAAATTTTACATAGGTACAGACTTAAATCATAAAAATCTGGTCAACTATCGTTTCTTCACATGTCATTAACAAGTATTTGAAATTATGGGCACAAAACTTTTCAAAGTACAAGTATGAAAAGTCTACTTCTACATAAGTAACTAAGTATAAAGTGAAACATGCCACGAATTCTTATTCGTTCCTTCTTAGGAAACAAATATTGTGCACAATACAGGGTGTTAATGGCAACCCGGTGGGTCAGTCTGGACATTCATCATCGGGCGGCCGCACAAACTGCTTATGACGTGTTAAACTGAACGTACCAACGTTTTAATTTAGCATAATATGGGGCATTTCACGACATCAAAAAAAAATGAGGTTTTAAAATTCGTTCATATTAGGCCTGTTTGTACATCTAGCAGGTGTCAAAGAGGAAACACGATTTTTTGTGGCACGTGAATTTGCTAATTTACGAAAACCCAAATTTGAATTTAAAAAACATGAGGTGCTAAACCGGAAGTAAAGATTTTAAACCAAAATTTGGGCAACTTCACATATTTCATTTTGTTTTTTTTACCCTCCAACATATAGTCTAAACTGTGTAAAATTCATCAGAGGTTGTGAAATGGTATGCGGATTAATTAAGGGGGTATGTATTTTTGTGTACATACATGTCACACTGGGGATGACATTAGGCGATTGTTTAGGTCGACTGGTTTGCAAGATATTTCATTGATCGGCTACACTATGAATATTTTTCGATTCTAATAATCATTTTAATTAGAATTTACAATAAAATCATACTGTATTTTTACACGATTTTCTTGAATATAGATATTTGAGAAAATAAGGTTCAAAACCGGATGTAAACGCCACAAACCATAATTTGGGTAACTTCTATCAATTTTTATCCTGATTTTTTTTTGCTCCAAAATATAACCTAAAGTCTGTTTAAGATACACTAGAAGCTCCACGCGAAATGCCCCATATGTATGAATCATATATCTAACAGAGGCGCATTGTTACCGGGATAAGAAGATTCTTGATAGTATAACATCTTTTACTGACACCAAAGATGCGAAGTGACTCTTTTTCTCCTACAACTCCTAGCGCTCAATTTGCACCCCACCCAAAAAAATGTCTGAAAATGAGCAAGAGTCTCTAAAGCGTCAAAAAACGTTGCTTTAGAATCCAATCAAAATACTTTATAAATTATAGAGATGTCAAGGATTAGCGGACATAGAGAGACAGACATACAGACAGATCGACGGAAATGCGTGACACTGATATACTTATAACATCTAAAAAACATCCGAAATTTTCGAAAAAAAACATGAGTTTGTTAACTTCTTGATGAATTTGCAACGTTCCAGGCTGTCTTGGTTTTCTACTGTCCCACCATCTACGTTCCTACAACCTTTTTGCGAGAGAGATAAACAGCCTGACGCTGTTCGGGATGAAAACGTCCAAGAAAATGATCTGAACAGACTCACGAAGATACTGTAACCAAACAAAAAAGCGGCGAGTTCGTTGTTGGTATAGGAATGTGATATTTTCATCTAAGTCCGTCGTCTCTTTTCATCTGCGCCAGTTCCGAATTTATATCGCAGATTTCTTCGGAACCTAACATACCTTAAGACTTATTTCATCAAAACACAAAAACTACACAGTCTGCCAAAAAAGATAACACCCTGTATTGTTGTATGAGGACCTAGCATAGCTGAGCAATTTTCATGCCAATACTTGTTTATTCTAAAGTAAGCATTCGTTCATTGGTTTTATATTCAGATAAAGTACGCTCAATATTCTTAGAATTATTTTTTGTATTTGCTTTCATAATTCAGCCGGAAGTTGAAAGCAAAGTAACATAATGAAGCCTCTCAATATACCATCCTTTGATATCTGATAAGCAGCTTGCTCAATGTAATCGACTGATTAAGCCTGATACTGTCCAAATTCGTCCTTTTTCGATTTCTTTCAGGATTTGCACATACATTAATGTTTAATCCACCAAAGGCATTCACTTTTATATAACTTCGCATTACAAAAAGCATACAAAATCTGTCCTAAAATAAACAGGACAAAGGAAAAATGAACAAACGTTTTTTGTTTTGGAAAATCAAATCTATTTTATTCAAAATAATATGCTTCTTTGCGACAGGCCTTGTACATGATTACTTTACTTCTATTCTACTACTTTCTCATGCCAGTTCAATCATCAGCGTTAACTCATTTGCAGAGAGATAATCTTTTTGAGAACCGGGAAGTGATAATCACTAGACTAGACATTTTGGAAACAGGTTGGTACAAAACAGAAACGTCCATGGTAATTTTCAACTTGAATTTATTGGGTCCAAAAATAAAACATTAAGACAGCTCGAATGTTCAAAAAATCTCAGTCTCCCAGTAGATACTTCAAGATTTTGATTTTGAATAAGACCAACAATTTTCTACAGTCTACGAAAACCAAAAGTTTAAAAGTCGCTTTAAAATAACGCAATCTCAAAAATACTCTTCGGGATCCTGTAAAGCAGGGTTTACGCTTTAATTTAGTTCAACAATCTGTTTATTTTCATCAAAAATAATAGTAGTAATAATGAGGGACACTTTTTAAGCAGATATAAAAATATCCCAATTTCTTTTTGCTAGATCTGAGTCATGAAGACGTGTAACCTCCCACCCTCCCTTGGAGCATCCTAGAGTTGTCACAAATCACAACGCCACTTGCTCATAGAAGTTCCCAACTCATCAATTTTCAATCGGCAAAAAGTTAATGTATGGGAGTTGTATTTATAAAAAATACTCTTCAAACGCCCCACTCAGCTGTTTATACAAACTAAAATATGCTTGTTAAAATTAACTTAATGTACGAGATCTGTAAATTAAGTGATAAGACTGCTGTTTTTTAACTTTTTAACATAGCGCTATTAAGCGGTTCTTCCACTCCTCATTGCAGTGCTGGAACTCCGATACTGGAATAGCCTTCAGCTGGTCGGTTACAGCCGGTTGAATGTTCTCGACTGTCCCAAAATGAGTTCCTTTGAGGTGATTTTCCAACTTTGAGAAGAGAAAAAAGTCACAAGGACTCACGTGAGGCGGATAAGGAGGTTAAGAAAACGAAGGAATGTTCTTACTGGCCAAAAATTCGTTTATTGACATTGCAGTATTACAAGGAGCATTAACGAAATACCCAGATATTGTTGACCTGATGAACGGTGGTCTGATTCAAATTTAGCTCTTCCTTGATCATTCTGACTGTCAACCGACGATCTTGTGAAAATGCCTTAAACCCGTAGGCCTGCTGAAGTTTAGCAAAAGTTTCCGTTACACTGTGCCTAAGTTTGAAGCAAAACCGGATGGCACACCGACACAATAGAAAATACTGTTTCACAACGGACTACCAAATGACTCGAACGAGTTCAAACTTGTCCAGAAAGCGGATCACATGTTCCTCTATCGCTCCTCCAATCCCAGCGCCTCCAGTGCTGTCAGATCGAACGCTACGTTGCCAGTCCCATCACTTACTTTACAGACCTCGTATTATAATGAAACCAAAAAAAGGGAGCAAATTCTCACGCAACCCGGAATCTCTTTATAGCACTGGGCAAATCCAGAGTTTGTCTCCCTTTATGACACGTGACCAAATATTGATCGAAAAACATATTGTTAAGGTGAATATTAACCAATCGGGTCCGTGAAAAGTCCACTTTGCGGTAAGGCCCGCACTTTTTTAGTAGCGAGGGGTTATAGCCCAGTGCCCTAATAGCGGTAATCCTAACCCCCTCTCTACTGCTACTACTACCGAAAATAAACACTCGCTGTTAACATTTACCGTTCACCATCGTAATTTTCACGAAAAAATGGGGATTTACAATTTGCTTAAATTGCAGAGTCTCTAAATAACGCACGTGCAATATACGATTTCTATGTCAAATCGGTGAAAATGGCATGTAAATTTAATTCTTAAAGTATCTATTGGGACATACCCTATCACATTACAGTACTGCTTTCTGCATAAAGGTTGTAGATTGGTAATTAACGATTTATAGAACCTGCCTATAGAGTTCCTTGCACATATTATCCGTGACAAAACATAGAACACCCATTCAAAATTATTCTATTTGAATGAAACTTCATATACAATTAGACGTACAGATAAATCGAAATATCACTGCAAGTATGCAATACGTATGTTAGAAATAGGGGGCAAATGACAACGCGGCAAACCGCACCTGCGTCCGAGGCGTTGTCATTCGGGTTGCTAGGCAACGTGATACTTCTATATCTTTCTAGCATACGTATTGCACGCCTTTCTCTCGTACACATTACCTTGTCAGTGATATTTGGGTTTCTCTGTATAACAGTTCATATGACTAAAATCGTTTTTGAAGGTGTACTATTTTCTTTGTCACTGAGTATATTTACTAAGCTTCCCGACCTTTGCCAGCCAAGATTCTGTGTCCAAAAAAAGTGTCCATTGTACCTATGTAAAGCGTGTGAGATGTCCTTCCTCAGCCAAAATCCATTGGACGTCCCACTTATACAAAAACATTATTGTGATCTCTTATGAGTGCACTCATGTTTCAGCCACCAAACTGGAAATTTCAACAAATCAGTGATCGATTATATTGGTACATATTTTTTGTAGATGCGTTTGCTTGCGACTTTTTATTTAGTGTACATCGAATGCACTTGTGTATTGTTTATTGTTACTAATACCTATTACAAGTAAAGAGTTATATAAAAGTTTCTGTTGAAATACTGTCTTTTTATTATGAAACCCTAAAAACCCCGATACTACACAGCTAGAATCGTTGTCATCTGGAGATCACGCGGTGACTGGGCCTCCAATTCGCGGACTGAGATCTATGCAGACACAACCGGTAGCTGGTATTTACTGTTCGCAGTGGTCGATTCTAGTTGTAGATGGCGCTTAGCGCTTATCTCGATAGATAAACGGTGTTGTAGACGGTTGGATAGACTAACAAAAGCAGCAGGACAAGAAAATATGTTTAACCAACCTGCACCGATAACTTTTCATTTTTCACGATAAACACATTACAATTATTCTAAGAATGGGCGATGAATGAATACTTTATAATTCAAAATTACAAAATATTAAATATGTGCATCTGGTTAAAGCACATAAAACGCACACCAAAGGATAGTTACAGCACGCTTTTCCCTCGTACACATTACCTCATCAGTGATGTTTAGGTTTCTCTGTATAACATTTTATAACAGGTGGGCTGAAAAGTCCGTATCGTTTCTATGAGATGGCGCCACCAGAATAAAATCCATACGCTTCTTAGCTAGTACCAACCTTCAAAAGATGCCTGTCAAAATTTGACAGCTGTCGGATCATTAGTTTTTGAGTTATCGTATCGAGAGTGACGCTACTTTTGTTATTTTTGAAAACCATGGAAAGTCAAGAGTTTCGTGTGTTAATGAAACATTATTTTTTGATGAAAAAAAGTGCCGTCGAATGCAAGAAATGGCTTGATGAGTGTTATCCGGACTCTGCCCCGGGCGAGGCAACCATTCGCAAGTGGTTTGCTAAATTTCGTACCGGTCACATGTCAACTGAAGACGACGCACGCAGTGGACGCCCAAAAGAGGTCGTTACGGACGAAAACGTGAAAAAAATCCACAAAATAATTTTGGGAGACCGCAAAATACGGTTGATTGACATAGCTGAGGCCTTAAACATATCAAAAGAACGTGTCAGTCACATCATTCATGAATATTTGGATATGCGAAAGCTCTGTGCGAAATGGGTGCCGCGCAATCTCACATTTGACCAAAAGCAACAACGCATCGACGACTCTGAGGCCTGTTTGGAGGTGATTTTGCGCAATAAAACCGATTTTTTTCGCCGATACGTCACCATGGATGAAACATGGCTCCACCACTACACACCGGAGTCAAATCGCCAGTCGGCCGAGTGGACGGCTGCATCCGAACCACCTCCGAAACGTGGAAAGACGCAACAGTCAGCAGGCAAGGTTATGGCCTCTGTTTTCTGGGACGTGCAAGGAATTATTTTCATCGACTATCTTCAAAAGGGCCAAACTATCAACAGCGACTATTATATAGTGTTACTGGAGCGTTTGAAGGCCGAAATCGCCAAGAAACGGCCACAAATGAAGAAAAAAAAATCTTGTTTCACCAGGACAATGCGCCGTGCCACAAGTCCATGAAAACGATGTCGAAATTGCATGAATTGGGCTTCGATTTGCTCCCCCATCCACCGTATTCTCCGGACCTTGCTCCAAGCGACTATTTCCTCTTCTCAGACCTTAAGAGAATGCTCACCGGAAAAAAATTTCACAGCAACGAAGAAATCATCGCCGAAACTGAAGCCTATTTTGAGGACAAGCCGAAGGATTACTACCGGAAGGGTATCGAAAAACTTGAAGAACGTTATAATCGCTGTATAGCCCTTGAAGGCAACTATGTTGAATAATAAAAGCGAATTTTGACGAAAAAAATATTTTTTCATTGAAACGATACGGAATTTTCAGCCCACCTGTTATGACTAAAATCGTTTTTGGAGGTATTCTATTTTCTTTGTCAATGAGAATATTTACTAAGCTTCCCGACCTTTGACGGCCAAGATTCTGTGTCCAAAAAAGTATCATTGTACCTATGTAAAGCATGTGAGATGTCCTTCCTCAGCCAAAATCCATTGGACGTCCCACTTATACAAAAACATTATTGTGATCTCTTATGAGTGCACTCATGTTTCAGCCACCAAAATGGAAATTTCAGAAAAATCAGTGATCGATTATATAGGTACATATTTTTTGTAGATGCGTTTGCTTGCGACTTTTTATTTAGTTAGCGTACATCGAATGCGCTTGTGTACTGTTTATTGTTACTAACACCTATCACAAGTAAAGAGTTATATGAAAGTTTCTGATGGAATACTATATTTTTATTCTAAACCCCTAAAAACCCAGATACTACACAGCTAGAATCGTTGCTATTTTGACATCACGCGGTGACTGGCCTCCAATTATTATATATAATTAACCGGTAGCTGGTATTTACTGTTCGCAGTGGTCGATTGTAGTTGTAGATGGCGCTTAGCGCTTATTTCGATAGAAAAACGGTGTTGTACAGGGTTGATTAGACTAATAAAAGCAGCAAGATAAGAAAATGTGTTTAACCAACCTGCCCACATAACTTTTCGTTTTTCCATGATAAAAACATTAAAATTATTCTAAGGATGGGCGATGAATCAAAAACGGCAAATTATGAACTCTTTCTAATTCAGAGATATGATAAATTATATATTAAATATTATGTACATCTGGTTAAAGCACATAAAAAGCACACCAAAGGATAGTTGCGCATCATTCTAGTTTTCATAGTCAGAAGTTTGATAGCAATACCTAAAAAAGCAAGCCAAATCAGGATTATATACCTAATATGCTTTCCAAATTTCATGACTGAAAAGCAAAACAAGAAAATATGTTTAACCAACCTGCCCCTATAACTTTTCTTTTTTTCACGATAAACACATCAAAATTATTCTAAGGATGGGTGGTGAATCAAAAACGGCAAATTATGAAAACTTTATAATTCAGAAGTACCCTAAATTAACCATTAAATATGTACATCTGGTTGAAGCACATAAAAAGCACACCAAAGGATAGTTGCGCATCATTCTAGTTTTCATACTCAGAAGTTTGATAGCAATAAATAGAAATGAACCTAAAAAACAGCCAAATCAGTTAGATTGCATACCTAATATGCTTTCCAAATTTCATGACTGAAAAATAATGAATCAGTAAAATCTCTCAAACCTCTGTAGTTATGCAGATACAAGCTAGTCACAGTCCAAGTCGACTCTCTAACAAAAACAGCATAAAGGAACTTAAAAGAAAACTAAATACTATTCGAGATCACGTAAGTTTACTGTGGATAAACTTTCGTTTTCAAGTAAAGGTATGGACACGTCTGCTATAAGACCTGAGTTGTCAGTTATTAGCCCAGGACTATCTGATATGAGTCCAGCGGCATCAGATATTAGCGTGGTAGCATCTGAAATCAATCCACTACTCAAAACCATATCAGTCTGCACACCAAGACTTTGAATTGCCTGTTCCAAAAGTGCATCAGCATTACTATTACTGTTTTGTGTCGAATCTTCTTCCATATCAATCTGCTGTACTTCGATTCCTCCACCAGAACTGGTTTTCTTCTTTGCCGGATATTCGTATTTCCCTACAGTAAATAATAATAAACCACTATATTGATTTGTACAGACAAGAAATTACGATAACAAAAATACAATACTAGTGGCGAAGTCTAGCTACTAGCTTTCCTACTAAAACCACTGGTATTAATATAATTGAACTAGAACTAAACTAAAGAATCGACGAAGTAGATAAAAAAATATATGGCAATTGAAGTTTTTCAAAAAGAGTTGAGCAACGCAGGCATTCGCAAAGAAACATGTATGTAATAATTATTTATGCTTTTAACTTTTCACTACAATACAGAATGTACAACGACAGGAGCAATACATTCTATGGTAAAAAGATACCTAACCACTTTTGATATCCACCTATTACTATCTATAAACAATAATAAAGAAACAACAAAGAATTGCATTCAAAAATTACTATCGTTGATCCTACTGCATATCAAACAAATAACGTTTTAATTTAAATTTAAACTTGTTCATGTTTAGAAGCTTGAATTCTTGTGGACACACCCGGATCGCATTATATCTGAACGATCTTTGGAACATGGCGGTCTTGGGCATGAGGAGCTGTGTAGTTCAAGCTACAAAAGTTGAAATGGCTAAGCACCAAGGACTCGCACAATGTTTTCCTTCAATGAAAAAGCATCCCAATTCCCACGTTTCATTCTCTTGTAGAACCATATAACAAAATTGGACATTTTACAGGAGTAACAATACAGGGTGTCCGCAAAGTTGGGGTTTTCCTTTTCAGAAACAACTACTCTTGAAATAACAAAGGTAATGTGTAGTGAAACGAGGGCGACCAAGTAAAAAAAAAATAAAGGAAAAAGTACTCACTCTCCAGTTGACGAGAAGGGCTAAGTACGTCTCTGCCTGAAATCGAAAGTTACTCACCCCATTACGCGTGAACGTAGATTCGTCTGTCACCAATATGCACTTCAAAAAGTCCGGATTATTGTCATGTTGATGCAACAACCACTCACAAAACCGCACTCTTGCTGGAAAATCGTCAGGTTGAAGGGCTTGTACACGTTGGACGTTTGCCACACTTTAGTTTTTCATACTTGCACTTCTCTAGCCATGTCTCTAGTGCTTGTTGAGGGATTCTCGTCTACGCGATTCAGTAGTTCTTCCTCAACTTGCACCATTCGTGGTTGTCTAGGCCTCCCACTGTGCCCACCTCGAAATTCCTCCAAATGGCCCATATCCCTGACTCTCTGATACACAAATCTGCGGGGCCTTGGATGATGTCGTCTAGGGAAACGATCTGCATACACTCGCGACGATTCTGTATCATTTTGAAGACATTCGCCATAAATTAACAACATATCAACGAGTTCATTATTGGTGTATGAGTGTGCCATTATTATTTTTTTTTTTTTGAAACGCAATCGATTATACGGGTTCGTTACCTCTATACGCGTGACCCTTTACCGTCGGTTGAAGGTTGCAGACCGACCTGACACATTGACCCCGACCCCCGACCCAGTTCTGTCGTCGGGTTCAGCTAGTAGCCGGTACCAGTCTGAGATATCGCGGGTCGCGGCGACAGGACGGTATTCAGATATTTTTGATGTTGCAGAGCCCTTTATCTCGGTTCCCTTAAGACATTGGTGTATATGGTACTAAGAAAAATTGCTTTTTTCAAGATCTACACGTCGTGTAAAGGAAAACCCCAACTTTGCGGACACCCTGTATTAGGACGTATTTTAACTTACCTTCCGTATCCAAAGCTTTTCTTTCTATATGGGTCAATGTGTGGTCCTTGAGATGTTCAGATCTCAAAAACGACTTTGTACAATCTCCAATTGTACAATGAAACTTCCTATCATTTGTATGTATACTTTGATGCCTCTTGAGCTTGCTAGCTGTCGCAAACCGCCATGTACAATTTTCATACCGACAGTGGTACGGTTTTGCTCCTTAAAGGGAATATATGAAAGTGATAATATACCAATTGAAAGAATATACCTTTTCAAATCCTACTCCTAAACGTTGCAGACCACTGACAGCAAATAAAAATACAAAAAGCCATTCTACAGGGTGGGCGATTGAGTTGAGCGGATTTTAAAAAATCAGAAAAAAACCGTAATGCGTAGGAAAGATAATTTATATTTTTACCAAAGTAGACACATGGGAATTTTATTTTTTGAATTTGCTGTAAGCTTGCTTTGTTTTTGAAGGTAAGTTAATTTATTGCGTTCAGATCGAGTAATTGCCCAGACGAGTAATTTGATATTAGGCAAAATTGGGTACTCAGTAAAACGAGCTATGTACCATGTACAAATCAAGTAATTGATGCATCTCAAATTTTAATATTTTAATAAACTGCCAAAAATATTATGAAGCTGCTAACTTACTAGGTTGGCCAGGCTTTTAAGAATATCTGCAAGCTAATAAATATTCTCATGCATACACAGTTAATTTTGACACATATTTTCATTATAAATAATTTACAAGGGTTGTTTCAAAAATAAGGTCCTCAATGCTTTAACTTTGCCGCGCGTGATGTTAGGCGAAATCCAGCAGCCGTCGGTTTGTCGGCTCCCCATCACCGATGCCAACAAGAAGCGCCTATTTGCGACGCTTAGTACAGGCCCGACAGCCATGCGCAATGGAGACCTTCATCGCCGTCACCCCCAGGTGGGAAATAAGTCTGGTCATCCGGTTGTTGCACGAAAAAACGTTACCATCCATAAAAATTAATCGTCACTTGAGTGAAGTAAATGGGAAACGTGTATAAGCATTCAACATGTTGAAAATGGTGAAGAGAGTTCTTCGCCGGCGGCGACATCCACGATGAACAACGAAGCGGGAGGCCGTCGATCTCCGAGGCTTCTGGAAAAGCTGAGACGGGCAATCCAAAATCGCTAAACGAAGGACTCTGAATCGAGCAATGTGGCTGGGAACTCACTGCCTATCCCCTTTACAGCCCTGACATAGCGTTGCCGGAATTGAATGAGCACCTAGGCAGTCAAGGGTTTGAGACAGACGAGGAGTTGCAAGCAGCAGTTACCAAGTTTCCAAGTGGATTCCTTCATAGAAAAAATGGCGACTATGTAGAAAAATTGCTGAAAGATCAACATTTTCACTGATAAATTCGTTTTTTCAAATAAAAAATTCCTTGGGCCTGAAAAAAATGTGAGAACCTTATTTTAGGGACAACTCTTATATAAAAATAAAATATTTGAAAATACCTTTCAATTTTGCAATAACATTTGAATGCTATTGAAGTTTTTTAGACATTTTAATTATCCTTATCAAGAAAATTACTTTTAACAAAGTCAAATTAGACACTTACCTGTGTGCTGGCGAATATGTTCTCTCAGCCTATATAGTTTTTTAAACTTTTTCCCACAATCGGGGTATTTGCAGGTAATATCTGACTCTCTACAAGCCTTCATATGTGTATCTAGCAATATTTTTGTGAAAAATCCTCTGTTACACTCATCATTACTACATCTATATGGTGCCTCACTTCGATCATGAGATTTGTAATGCTCCCTTCTTTGTTTTTCATTTTGGAAAAATAACTTGCAAGTACTGACAGAGCATGGTAAATTTGAGGGCAAACTGTGCTTCTTTTTATGCTCATTTAGATTATAGATTGTAGAAAACGTCCGATTGCATCCAGTTTTCTCACAGATAAAATTTTTATTTTTCTGATGTGTCTCCTTATGCCTTCTAAGTTTACAAGCAGTGTAAAATTCCCATGGACAATTCAGCATGTCACATTTGAATGGCTTGATTTGCATATGTCTCAGGGCATGAAGTTTGGCATCAGCAATATGGAGGAATGCCTTGTTGCAACGTAGTGGACAAAGGTGAATTTTCATTCCAAAGTTTGTAAGACACTGAGGCAAGGCATATTCTATACCCTTACAGATTGGAACTAGGGAAACATTAACAATCCTCTGTGTCATTTCTGGGATGTGGTAATTCACTGGTAACTGGAATAACAAAATTAAGATATACATTTTTACAACTTAATAGGAGGTTTTCTAATATGCATGAATTGATATATGAGTGTATTTGTATTAGCATGGTATTTTCTCTATTCGACAGGTAAATGGTCAATAATTTAAGGAAGACTACTTACTGGCATATGCTGAGCAAGGAACATAGGCTGTTCATTTACATCTTTCAGCATCAAAATTGCAACATTATTCTCAACATTGATGTCTACTATTTCTGGTACCCTCGAAAGTAATATATCATTTTTACTTAAACTAACACAACTAGTGCTTTTCACTTCATTGGTCGGAGTGTTGGTATTCGCAACTTTGAATTTTTTCGCTACTGGTTTTTTGCTTGCAGGCTTTAAAATAACCCTTTGATGGTGCTTGATAATCTTAGGTTTTGGTTTGGATTTTTCTTGTGAAACCTGTGGTACAAGCTCAAATCCCTCAAGTATTGTAGGTTTATCAAATACTTGCGCTTCGCTCAATAGAGGATCAGTCTCAAATGAAAGTGAATCTTCCTCTGGGATTATGAAATCAGCTTTTGAAAACAATTTATCAAAGTCGTTTGGACAGTTCCTTATATCACTGAAAAGTAGATTGTTTGTATCTTGATCCACTTCAACTAGACACAAGACGTCACCTCCAATACAATGGTACTCCATTTTTTTGTAGTTTGTAATTAAATTCGATTGAACTTTAATACCAATACATAAGTGAAGGAAAAAATCTTGTAAAGAAGAGGATGCAGAGCTATGCTTAGGTCCATAACCACAAAACAGATAAGCACAAAACATATTCACCATCACCACAAAACATATACACTGAAGAAGGTTTAATTCCATGAAATTCAACACGGTGACTTGTGTGGTTGTCAGCGGCCATTTTTTGAGGGTGCAACATATCTATGCTACAGGAGTGATGGTGTCTATCCTCCAAGAGGATGTGACTACTCACAATTACTGAATATATTTGGCATCCCTCGTTTGGAAAAGCGCAGAGAGCAGGCGTCCATCATATTTTTATACAAATTACTGCATGGAAACATCGACTGTCCTGTTTTGCTATCGCAAATTGATTTCCTGGTACCTAGATTGACATCTAAATATAAAGTTTCCTTTTACTGCAAGAGGATGCAGACGAATCTTCTATCTAAAGCACCAATAAACTTTATGTGCAATAATGCGGATAGGAGTTTTTGTGATATCTTCTGTTCTGGATTTCATGAATTACGAAGTGCTATACGTTCACATCTTTGACTTTTTTTATGCCCTCTCCAGACTCACGCGCGATTCGCGCGCGAAGCCGCGCGTTATAGGTCAAGAACCCGAGGCGTCAGCAAGACGACACCGCCAGTCGCAACGACAGCAGAAACCTTTATTAAAACTATTTTTCTTTTTATATTTTAATTCATTATCATTCCAACTTGTAACACGTTCATGTCTACAAAATAAATATTTTTTAAAAACTCCTTGTTGTGGCTGAGAAACATAATTGGCGCTGCGAACAGGATATCTGCACGGCATCCACCCAAGAAGGATCATCGGTTCGTCTTAACGATTTGGCAGATTTCTACCTGGGGTCACGAAGAAACACCGAGAAATTGGAGGACCATACTGGCGATGAAAATCAGTGCGATTCTTCTCATCCTGTAAGTCCATTTCCTTTTCATATGAGTTCTGAGTACCCTCAAGATTCATTTCAAGCTATAGTTAATTTTTCACACAAGTCGCAAAACAAATCTAGATTTCAACCCTACAGTAAACATTCAAAGAGGTCAGAAGACGATATTGTTGATAAGCCATCTAATACTTTCGAACAATCTACAAAAATGGTTATATCTAACTCTGATGTTAATAACTTGTGTAATACTCTTCCTGAATTTAAAGTTGGAGATAATCTTTCTACATTTATAAGCTCTGTAGATAATTTAATCACATTTTTCAACCAACAAGGAGCTGATGCAGTACAATTGTATATTATTAATGCACATATTTTATCCAAAGTAAAAGGTGAAGCTCGAGATTTTCTGAACATTCATAATAAAAATTCGTGGCCAGATATTAAACCACTTTTATTACAAAAATACGGTGACCACCGTAATGAAGAAATTTTGTTAACTCAATTAACTACAACTGTTCAGAAACGCTCAGAGACTTACCAAGATTATCATCATCGTATAACCTTGGCACTGAATGACCTTTTACAACATGTTTTATTAAGTGAAAGTAATGCCCAGGCAGTAGAGTTCAAGGCTTCATTTTTCCGGAAACAAGCTCTAAGAACTTTCTGCACAGGCATCAACAACCCTTATTGTGACCATCTTTCTCATTTCGAATTGAATACTTTAGATGATGCTCTCCAAAAGTGTATCTCTCTTGACAATCACAGACAGCAACAACAATACATGTCTTACTTGAAATCCACGAATCACCCCCGCGATTACCAAAAACCTCAACCTCGTCCCAATCCAAACAACTTCAATACTTCGAACAAACCCAATAATCCCAATAACCAATACCATCGTAATTTTAATCAGCCCAATTCGTCTAATCAATCTTTCAACCAAAATTCTATGCACCCTAGACCTTTTGGCGATATAAATAAGCCCATCCAACAGAGACAATCTTTTCCGACAAATCGTCAAGTCTTTGGTCCATCGTCTAGGCCTAATAATTCACAAGACCAACGAAACCAATATAAACCAACTCCCATGTCTGGTATTCATTCCCAGAGATCTTCAAATTCCAAACCTACCCCAATGTCTATGTCCTCTTACCGCACGTTCCATCATAATGTTGAATGTGAACCCGAGTCCCCGCCTAGTTTACCTTATAACGAAGCAGACTGTATACCTGAGACAGATTGCTACGAAAACTTTGATTCTCCTGAGGAAAATTTTCTAGAACCAGCCTCAATGGAACCCGCACCCAACATAGAATCATTCAGTTGAATAATTTTTCCAAAGCAACGAAACTTCCTTACTTCTACCTTCCACATTCCAAATTAAAAGTTCTCATCGACTCCGGTGGCTCTGATACAGTAATTACTCCCAGAGCTGCTCAAAATTTCGACTCGAAATATGAATTCTATGAACCTTTTACCCTCATATCGATGAAAACCCCAAAAACATATACACGCAATCTTTACTACCCTTTGTTCGAAGAAATTGGTATACAGCAAGCCCTTACAATTAGAATTGCCGACTGGCATGACGATTTCGATGTACTTTTAGGTACAGGTGAACTCGATCAACTAGGAGCCAATATTGATTACGAAACACATGTATTTTCTATTCCAAAATTACAGATCTCTATTCCATTTAAGATAATTTACCGTAGTAATAAACGACTACGTATTCCGGTCTCCATTAATAATGGCGAAGTTGTCATTTCTGATATTATACATGAAAATCAAGTAATAGTTCCAGCATCAATTCATGTAGCTGAAGACGGATTCATAGAAATTCCACGTCCCAACAATGTTGAAATCAACTTCTCACAACCAATCTCCGCCACATCCATTTCAGATTTCGAAGAAATCACTCCCCCATCGTCTGGCGACAATTATTTTGATCTTAATTTGTTACGGACAGACCATTTGAATGCAGAAGAGAAAGAAAAGATCCTCCATCTTTGTCATCGATTTAAAGATATTTTTCATACAGAAAATTCTCCTTTAACCGTTACTACTTCTGTAAAACATGTTATTCGAACTAAAGATGAAACACCAATCTTCACCCGCTCTTATCGACACCCAAAATCAATGCTACCTGAAATTTCCGACCAAATCAATAAATTACTACAGAACAATGTCATCCGCCCTTCTATAAGTCCCTACTCAGCCCCTGTATGGATAGTTGCGAAAAAACTTGACGCAAGTGGTAAAAGAAAATTCCGTATGGTCATCGACTATAGACGTCTTAACGAAAACACAATCGAAGATAAATACCCTCTTCCCCGCATTGACGAAATTCTTGACAACCTAGGACGCTGTTCATACTTTACCACCCTTGATTTGGCACAGGGTTTCCACCAAATCGAAGTCCACCCAGATTCTATAGAAAAGACAGCTTTCACAGTTCCTAACGGTCATTTCGAGTACCTTAGAATGCCTTTCGGATTACGAAATGCACCAGCCACTTTCGAGAGAATGATGGATGAAATCCTAAGAGAATTCTTATACAAATCTTGTTTTGTCTATATGGACGACGTCATCATATTTTCCAAATCCCTCCAGGAACATTTAATTCATATTAAACAGATTTTCCAAAAATTCCGAGAAGTTAACCTCAAGATTCAGCCCGATAAATCCGAATTCTTGAGTAAGTCAGTAGCGTTTCTAGGCCACGTCATAACACCTGAAGGCATAAAACCAAATCCTTCAAAAATTTCAGTCATTGAAAACTTTCCTATACCCAAGACGGTGAAAGAAATCAAAAGCTTTCTTGGTCTGGTAGGATACTACCGACGTTTCATTCCGAACTTTTCCAAAATCACATACCCCATGACACGCTGCACTAGAAAAGGTACTAAAATCGATATCGAAGATCCCAGATATATTGAATCTTTCGAGAAATGTAAATCCGCTCTCAGTAACTCCCCTATTCTCCAATACCCTGATTTTTCCCTACCATTTACCCTCACTACAGACGCTTCAAACATAGCGATCGGTTCTGTCCTTACACAGAAAGGAAATCCGATAGCTTATTATTCTCGCACCCTAAATTCAGCAGAGAAAAATTATTCTACAATCGAAAAAGAACTTCTTGCCATACTCGATTCCTGCAAAGTATTCCGCCCCTATGTATATGGTGTAAAATTTACTGTGGAAACAGATCACAACCCCTTAGTCTGGTTATACAAAATTAAGGAACCCAATTCTCGTCTTGTCCGATGGAAACTCAAACTTGAGGAGTACAATTTCGAAATTAAATACAAGAAAGGAAAGGAAAACGTCGTCGCCGATGCTTTAAGTCGCATCGAAATAAATATGCACGAATCCGAGTCTCTGTGTGCCAACCCTCCAGATGATGATGACGACTTTGATGTAGATGACTTCGTTAACCAATCTTTCGAAAAAGAAACTGGTCAATCAACCCAACATTCTTCTCATGAAAATCCCGTTGCTCTCGTCCCATTCTCAGAAGAACCTATTAATCATTTTTCAAATCAGATCATAATAAATCTAGGCACCGATTTTAACACCAAATACCGTCTGAAGTTCAAGTCCAAACACGAATATCTCATCACTCTTTCCGAAAAAGACTGGAAAACCGACATCAAGACTGCTCTCCATCAAACTATAGCCCCCAATCAACGATACTACATTCTGACTGACAATCCCGATATCCAAAAATATATTTCCGACTTCGTCCGTAATACTTATAACCAAAACATCCAAATATTCTTCTGCACCAAACGAGTTCAAGATGTAGAGAGACCCGAAGACCAATTACGACATCTCCAAAATTACCATAAGGAAAATCACAATGGTATTCTCGAAACACTTAGTCATTTAAAATTACACTATTACTGGCCTAATATGCGTTCTACAATTTCAGAGCATATTAACCACTGCGATATTTGTCTTCGTAATAAATACGAGAGACACCCATATAAATTACCCCTAAAAGGTCCACTTCTAGGACAAAAGCCTTTCGACATCCTTCATATTGACACATTTTCCTGTAATCGAGAAACTTTCCTCACAATCATCGACTCTTTTTCCAAGTATGCCCAAGTGTACAGTATACCTGACAAAATGAATACCACAATCCTTAGCAAATTACGTCACTATTTCTCCCACCATAATTATCCTCGAAAAATAGTCTGCGACGAAGGTACCGAATTTTCAAATAACCTCTTCAAAGAATTTTTAAATCTTCACAAAATCGAGCTACACTTTACGACAGTGAACAACCCGAATTCCAATAGTCCTATCGAAAGAT